GACCCATCCTGCGCCGCGCTGCTGGGTCACTCTGTCCAGCAGCAGTGGGGTCACCACAGGACACTCTCCTTCAGAGGATTGTAGGGGCCTCCCCTTGACTGCAGAGGACCGCAGAATGGAAAGCACCTCAAAGCAGAAGGGATGTGGGGCTTCTACCTTCTCTAGAAACCCCTGAGCACACTGCACACTGGCTCAGCCACATTCATCCGCTTCTCTCAAGGCAGAGCCCAGCCCGGTGTTGTCCTCCCTCCTATTCCCAAGCCTCTGTGATGTGTTCTGGTTTAGAGTTCCTCCTCTCTGTTTGCTGCTGCAGACCTTGATTTTGATCCCATACGTTAGGTCCGAACCTGAGTCCACCTCCTCTAAGGAGCCTTCCTTGAGCACTCCATTCTGGTCAGTGGAGATATCTCTGCTTCCAGACTTCTGTAGCACTTACAGATACCACTATGCTGGTATTTGATTAGGAACTTTCACTTTTTTTGTTTGTTTTTTTGTGGTCTCGGTGATGGATTCCAGGGCCTTGCTTATGCTAGGCAAGTGCTCTGTCTGAGCTCCAGAATTTTGATGTTTTACTTATCTTTTCCCTTGTGTGTTTTGGGTTTGATTCTCTGACCAGAATGTAATATCTTTGAGGTCAAGAACTCATTTTAGCTGGGTATGGTAGCGTATGCCTATAATCCCAGCATTTGGGAGGCTGAGGCAGGAGGATCACTGTGAGTTCGAAACCACCTTGGGCTACATAAGTGAATTCAAGGCCAGTTGGCACTATAAGACCTTGTCTCAAAACAACAACAACAACAAAACAACAAAACACCCTTATTTTAGATATCTTTCTATCCTCACAGATTACCTAAAATTTCTTGCATATGGCTTATGTACCATATATCATCAGCTGCAGGACTTGTAGTATACCAAGAAGAAAGCACCAAAATTGTACATTGTCAGCATCAAAGATCTGATGTTTCGTCTGACAAGACTGAAGTCTAGGGCCATTTTGGTTTTAAGAAGCACCTTAAAAAACAGGGTAGATGGGTAGCTTCCTACTTTTGTGTAGCAGTGAAAAATTTCCTTCAAACGGAGTCTTCATAGCTCCTGGTATAAAGCAGAGGTTGCTGTGGCTGCCCTGGAGTGAAGCTTCTCTGTATCCCCCACAGTAGCTCCAGACATCTCTGGGGAGACCGTGAACTCGTGTATCCCAGTTTGAAAATTGCTAGGGAAGATCACACTTATTCATGTCAGAAGAACTTACTAATTTGGCTTGCTGAAAGAAGAAGTTAGGTACACTCATTTTATTAAAAGTATATTTGTTGTTGTGTTCATAAAATGGCAATGAAGTGAACTTACCCCCTTTGTTTAGTATAGATTTGCTGAGTTTTTTCTCCATTAACCTTTTTGTTTTGTTTTGTTTTTCTTCCGGTACCAGGAATTGAACTCACAACCTTGCGCTTGCCAGGCAGGTGCTGTGCCACTGAGCTAAATCCCCAGCCATCTATTAACCTTATTCATGTATATTCTTTTCTGAGGAAAATGCTTCTACTGGAACGCACGCGGCACCTAATTAAAGTGGGCAGTGCGAGCTGTGTTTCTCTTCTCACCTTTAGTCACAGCCAGGTGGCTGGCACATAGCTGCTGCTCAGTGGCCCAGTCCTGATGGGCTGGAGTCTAATATTTATACCAGAGAGCCAGACCCTGCTCTGTCCCTGTGGTTGGTCCAAAGTGAATTTCATGGTGGCGTTGGCTTCCTTCTGTGCTCAGCCTGCCTTGCTTCCTTTCCCCTACCCTGCTGGAGTGGGGCTCAGAGAATATTAGTTAATTTTAATATCAGTCTGAGAAAGATTAATTAGGAAGGCAAATTTGCTCTAAAAGGTATAATTAATTCTGAAGCCAAAGAGAAGAGAGTTATGGATTATCTGCATTGCTGCTGCCTTCAAGTCGTGTGGATAATCAAGAGTTGAAGAGACGGCACAGACTCATTTTTAAAGTGTCAGTGCTGTGTAGGCCAAACTCCATATGGCTCCTTATGTAAGCAGGCTTGAGGCCGAGACAAAGGATCTGTACTGAGGTGGTGTCTATGCAAGTGAATTGAAGAGGAAACACCAGCCAGATGTCCTGCCCTGGCTCTCCTGCCTCCTCAGTCATTCATGAATCATGCATCTTTCTCTCTAGTCCTCCCCCAGACTGAATGGTCATTTTTCTCCACTGCTGTGATAATCAGGTAGGCCAGTAGCCACCTCTTCCCTCCAAGCCGTCCTCTGCTCAGTCATATTAAATGTCCATGTCCAGCTTAGAGACTTCCAAACGTGTCCAAGCTCCTTAGCATGCTCCTCGAGATGTTTCACAAATGGGCCCCAGCCTCTCCAACCTGGCTCATTTCCCTCCTTCATCACACTCCTCAGCTGTCTATGTCCAACCCCTCGTTTTAGGACACACCGTTGACCGTGCTGGAAGTCTCAACCTTGCTGAAAGCTTTGACTCTTTAGGGCCCCTGATTTTGGGCTTCTCTGCTGACATCTTATTGTCTTATAAACATTTATTGTCTTTTCTCTAACGGAGGCAATGAGGTCCTTCAAAGAGTATAACTTTTGCGGCTTTGTATTCTCCTCCACCTTTCCCTGTTTTAGGCCTAGCGTAATGCGTACCCAATAGGAGCTGATCAATGCGTACCCAATAGGAGCTGATCATTGCAACAACGAACTGGTCAGCTAACAATTTCAGCAGTGATTGCAACAGGTTTAGATCAATGAAACCCAAACCTGCCTCTCTTCCGCCCCAGTCAGTAGTAAATTCAGCTTGAAATATCTGGGGAAATGACTGTGTTCCATTTCCTTTTGCTTTAATAGCTGAGCCTCAGAGGCAGGTGGCTTCGGTAGGAGGACTCTCTGAGAACGGTGAATGATGGAAACTTCAGACTGACAGCTGCTGATCTTTGCTTTAGTTGATTTCCCCCTTTGCAAATGGTTATTGGCAATTGAAACTGCAAATCTACTATCTGCTCCCCTATGTAAATTGCATTTACATTTAAATTGTGCATTCTTCCAAAGGATGGGGTTACTAAATAACTGGCAGATTAAACTTCAGGAGAGGAAATTGTGGCCCACATCAAACCTGAGACTGAAGTGACATCTGGCTTTTACTATTTCCGTTATTTCAGTTTAATAACAGCATGTGGCATTAAGGGAAGAGAAATTGGATCTACATTTTAATGAAAGGAGGAAGCTCTCAGGATTTAGATACCTTATCATGCTGAATACCTAGTCGATTGGCAATTAAAACTTGCTTCCCTCAAGAAATGGCATAAAACATCTTTGCAGCTCTGGAGAGAATAAAAATCAAACAAAAAAACAACAAAACAAGCTAATGCCCTGGACTGCAGAGATGAAACTGAGAAAACTGCTACAAACTCTGAAGCCAGATGTTTCAGGATTGCACAGAATGCAGGAATTCTTAAATGGTATAAGGCTGGCAGTAGAATCATGGATACACACAAGGTAGACCTTTAAGAAAATAGCTTTGGACAGAACAGTTTGCACAGAGTAGGGGGCTCAACCCGCAGATGTGGGTTGCCAAGACTGGCTTAATTCTTTCTCAACCTGCCTTATTTTGAATCCCAGAGGTCTGAGCGAGAAAATGTTTAAAAAATGTCTACTTCCTCCCAGCAGTCTCGCTGTTTAAAATGGAAGCGGTTCCACCTGCTGGTTGCTTTTCTGTTGAAAGCAATTCTGGGAAATGTAAACAAAATGCTTTTGCATCCTAATAACCCAAGCCTATCATTTATTTGCTTTGATTGGAACAAATGTGTCAATTTTCAAAGTCTTTGTTTGGTGAATTCAGTGTTTGGGTGTTTGTAAACATTGTATTGTGTGTTTGTTTGGAAGCGGATGCTCTATTCAGTAACTTTGGAGCTGTAGCCTGGGAGCCTTCCTAACCATCCAACCAGAGATGCTCAGCTCTTTCCCAGGATCTGAAGAGGGCTGATGTCCCTTAATGAAGTGTAAATGGGATGGAGCCTCCTGATGAAGAGACTGGATATGGAAACTTTCAGAAGATAGGGCTCAGGATTAACTAGAATAATTGAAACCATTTATGTAATGATCCCTGTATGTGTATTATAATCCACTGACCCTTCATGACAGTAGTATGCATGGTACCACTGTCATTCTCATCATGGGTGAAGAAAAAGAGGCACATTGGGATTACTAACTTACTGGGTCCTATGTCACTCAGTAAGTGATAGAGCTGGGATCTAGGCTAGCTGGTGCCACTGTTCCCTTAAACTCTTTCACGTGGTTCCCTCCTCTCCTTGGTGTTTAATCAACACATTGGCATGGTGTTTTCTCACAGTTACATTTTGTCTTGCATAATTGTTTTTAAAATTGCAGCAGTCTTTCAGAAAATGCTCAGGCTAATAGTCTGCTGGGTCTTTCCTTTAACTAAATAAAGCAGCAACAAGAAGAAACCTATAGCAGTGAGATGACAGCCTCTGTCTCAGCTGTCTTCTGGAGCATCCAGTAACTGGAAGGAGATACAAAGTGCTTTGAAAAGGCTCAAATCATCCGACTTCTCCAGTGTATGATTAGTTACCTGCACTCCATTCTGATTCTTATTTTCTTAACTGAGAAATCCTTAACAAATTCATACAGTCTTCTTCCACGTTTCAGTTTTCCCTGGAGTACATGGGCAAATTACCCATCTAGTTCTGTGGGTCTCTTGATGCTAACCTAGACTCTGGAGTTTGTTTGACTTCTCCTTTCTCCTAACTTCTTGGCACTGTTACCTCTTGGCGTGGTAGTAGCTCCTACTTCCTGTGCCTAATGATAACGTCCCTGCCTCTCTTGACATTTTCTCATGGCAGTCTGCCTATGAAGTCGACCAGTGTTTCCTTCTGTTTGAACTGAGTTTAAATTAATCATCTGGTTGTCACATCAATCTGTTGCTATGGGGGTTACTGATGTCACACTGCCAGTATTATGATTACCATAATATCTTACAAGCAAAGAGGGGTTGGTTGCTAGTGGAGACCTGTGGGTGAAACTCATCTAGCTTCAGTAACCAGCCCAACTTCATAGATTTTAGACAACCATGTGAAGGGGTAAGTGGATTAATCATCCAGTTGGATTTCATTTGAATATTTTTCTTCCATATGCGTGTTCCCTCTAGGCAATTGTCTAGTGTCACTTGAAATTGATGAGGATTCTTTTGGAGGTTATTTTTGGGAAGCTGGGGAAACAACAGACAGCTGTTCTCAGGAACAAATGTCACAGGATTTGCCAAAGCTAGCCACCAGTAAAGAAAAAAATCTGAGGTGCCGAGGTGCAGTTCCCCTTTTCTTCCTAGCATTAGGCTTTTTCTTAGTGGACCAGAGGTGTTAATTTAACTTCCCAAGCACATAGAAGGGAGAAACTAGCATTTACTAAGTACTTACTCTCTAAGAAAGAAAAATAAGCAGAGCGTTAAGGCTGAAAACTGTTCAGCTAGGTGCTCCTGAACACTTGTATAAGACAATCCATGGCTTTTTCTAGCTTGTATACAGTGTTCTTCCTAATTGGACATTGATTGATCACCAATAAAAGCACAGTCATTACTTAAAATTGGTCTAGATCTTCCTATGCTGAGTAATTATCTTGTGGCCATTTTCACTGCAATATTAGAAAACCTTGAAACATGAAAGAAATGGGGTACAATAAATAAACTCCTAAATTAAAAATCTCTGTTAAAAGCCTTGACAAATGGGTCTGTCTTTCTCACAATTTTGTTAAATGGGTGGAGGGCTTGGTTTTAGGGAGATCAAGAGATCAATGAGATAAAACTGATTGAGCTTGAGGTTGCAGAGGTTTGGAAGCCGGATCAAGACTTGAATAAATCTATATAAATCAATTTGTGTGCCAGAGAATGAATAGCTGACTTTTTTCAAATGCCAATTCAGCAATTACAAAGTCTGCTGGTGGTTAATTAAAAACTACCATCTCGTTATGCTCAGAGTTAAATTGCAAGTGTGAAAACTACTACTGTTTGCAATAACCGAATACTCTGTACTCTCTGTACTGTCATCAAAAAGAGGGCAGGGATAAATAACTTTTATTTAACTCACTAAAAAAAAATGTCTCTCAGCTCTTTCGTATTTAATTAACTTCTTATCTTCCTGGAGCTCAAGTCTTATGCAGAGTTCCTGAGCAATAATGGAAATATTTGTTCATTTTGTCCAGGAGATTTTGCTCACATCAGCTGAGTAGAGAAGTAAGAACACTGGCTAAGGTGACAGTCACCCAAAGCTTTGCACGGAGGGCACTAATGCTAGAGGCTTTCATGGCAGAAAACAGCAGAAGGGGTGCCGTGCACTTTGTAACTGTGCGCCTCCAAAGTGGGGAGATGGCTTTGAAAACCCTCTTGTGAGTGAGTAATGCTTTAGCACTTATTCATAAGGCTGTCTTAATGAATTCAGTGTTCTACCATTTCCAGGATTCCACTGTCAGAAAAGAGGCCAGACCTCTAACACCATGGTGGACACCCATTGTCTCAGTGATGGTGAGTTGCAGAAACAACTTAAGAAGCTCGGATTTTCACCTGGCCCAATACTGCGTACGTATACATAGACATAGGGGACCAATCCTTTATCATTTACAACCTAGCTCCAAAGGTGTAAAACAACCCTTAGGAGGAGCAGATATTATTTTTGTTTTGTTTTGTTTTTTGGTACCGGGAATCGAACTTGGGACCTCGCACTTGCCAGGCAGGTGCTTGTGCCACACAGCGATATTCCCAGCCCGGGAACAGATATTATAAAAACCGTGAAAATAGAGATAGGGAGGCTGAGGATGTAGCTCACTGCCTAGTGCCTAGTATGTATGGGACCCAAGTTCAATCCCCAGCACAGCCTCCCCCAGTGAATAGGAAAACAGAAAATCACACATACAGAGGAAAGATCCTTACAGTTTAATAGGTATGGTGCCAGAGAGAAGGGATTGTTTTTTCCAACAGTGAAAAACCTGTTACTCTTTATTATACTACCTTGTTTTGTTTTTAGTGTGTGTAGTATTAACTACTTACTCACGTAATGCATTTATTGTCTATATTCCCAATACATACGGTAGGATATACAATCATGGCTCTGTTGCTCTAAGATATATTCCGTGCCTGACTCTGTGGCTAATCCACCTTAGTGTTTGTGGAAGAGAAGTGAGTTCAGTGGCTGTGGGATCTGCTTCATTTAAAAAGTCATAGGGAGGGGCTGGGGATTTAGCTCAGCGGCAAAAGCGCCTGCCTGGCAAGCGCAAGGTCGTGAGTTCGGTTCCCGGTACCGGAGAAAAAAACAAACAAAACAAAACAAAACAAAACAAAACAAAAGTCATAGGGAGTGGGCATGGTGCACACGTATAATCCCACCACTCTGGGAGGCTGAGGCTGAAGGAGTGCAAGTTTGAGCCCAGCCTAGATGCCTCAGTGATTTAGCAAGACCCTTTCTCAGTAAAAAGGGTTGAAGATGTAGCTCAGTGCAAAGGCTCCGGGTTCCGTCTCTAGTATTAAAAAAAAAAAGCTGAGTTATGAAATACCCTGAATCCCATAGGATCACGTATAAAAATAGGACAATTTATTCTCCACATTCTTCCTCAGCTTCCACCAGAAAAGTCTATGAAAAAAAGCTAGTGGAATTGCTGGTTCCACCTCCCTGTGCACCACCTATGCTGACTGGATCCAGAAAGTCGGATGGACCTAAGGACAGCAGTGATAGTGAAGGTACTGTCGTAAGCTGCACTGCTAAATAGCAACTTAGCACTTATTAATACCCTGTCCGGCCTGATTTATGCAGCTTTAAATAGTGTGATGCTGACCTGTGAAACAGCCGTGTGGCCAGTTTGCACACAGAGCAGGGAAAATAGGTCCCTGGGCTGCAAAAAGAATCTGAAATTCCATGTCTGTATTCATCCTGGAGACTCAGTTGGCTTGGAAGTTGGGGGGGAAGGACTGGTCAATTTGTGTATCCTTTAACTAATTAGAGCCAGATACATGTTGATTCCTTAAAACCAGAAGTTCCTACAGATAAAGCCCAGGTTTCCTTTGAGGTCTCCACCTCTGCTTTGTCTCAATCAATACATTTGATCATTATTTTCTTTGGATTAAATGATTTCATGTCTGTTAAGAAGCATGCTCCAGCCTGTGCCTCTTGAGCCCTTCCTATGCCAACTGCCCTCCTGATCTGCATGGAAGCTGATGGCTGCTGGTTCCTTTTGGGTCACAGAGTGGGTGGGTGGGAGCAGTGGTCTCAGGTCCCTGGGCTTTGCCGCAGGAGTGGCCCTAGCCGCAGGAGCACCATTCTCTGCAGTGGTTTCTGGCTTCAGAGCCCAGGAGGATAGCCTTGGAGATTCCCACAATACATACGTGTGCTTTATCCCTGCATGGATAGTGACCAGGAATCCTCTGTGAGCCACAGTGAGCAAACATTTAGTGAAGGCCACTCATACATGCCAGGCCTGATGCATGTTATCTCACGTAACCCTCAAAACCCTTAGCTGGGGCTCCAAGAGGCAAAATGATGGGCCCATCATGTAGCTCAGAAGTTAAGCACACAATAGAAAGTGCCCCAAGAGCAAAGCCATCTGTCTTCACCATCATTCTCTGCTCGCAGCTAGAACAGTACCAGGTACACAGCAAGAATATGTTATGTTTGTGGAATGGAAGTGACAGAACTGAGATTTGAACCCAGATCTGGTGCTCAAAATTGTGCCTTTTCCACCACATACTCTCCCCTTTTCTCATACTGTCTATTGTAAGGATGAACACATTATACTATGGATCACATTTGATCTGTAAAAAAGACTATTTCACATAGTTCATGTTAGCAGTTCCACAATATAAGTGGCTCTGGAATATCTCCTGTAATCCTGGGATTGGAGATGGAGTTTTCCCCAAGGGCTGGGCACGGCTGAACTCATTTGAAAAGGACAGCAAGGTTCTGGGACAGAAGCACTGGCCTCTGAATAGGGCAGTTAGCACAAAGGTGCCACAAGGCGAAGTGGCAATCCCACATCCCTCCTGGATATTGAACATATCCCAAGTCCTGTCCCTTACCTGGCTTTCTTGGAAAACAGCACAAGGGACTGGACCTGCCATGGGAACTCTTCACAGGACACAGGTCACAGCAGACCTAAACCGTGACTGTCCCAAGCCCAGACTTCCTGGGTCCCAGCTTGCAGGTCTCTCCCCACAGGTTTATCTGTGCTGGGGCTGGGAGAAAATTCGTCTTTTAGTTCATGAACTTTGCCACTGTGTCAGATTGAGTCCATCTGTTGGTCCCTAGCTGCAGGCCACCAGGTAAGCAGTGAAGGCTCCCTTTTAGCCATACCTTTGTCTTGCAGTCCTTGCTGTCAGTGGCTGGTGCTTGTTCCAAGTAGAAGGCCTGGCTGTCCAGGTGCGGTCTGAGCCATGCACTTGAATGTGCTCATTGAAAGGATGTCAGAGCCCCTGGTGCCATTTAAATGGAGGGGTTGAAATGGAACTGATGGAGGTGGGACCGGAAATCCAGCCTTGTGCCTTTCATAGGAGCATCTAATTCTGGGGTGGGGAAGTAATGGGAGAGGTGGGACATTGAGCTCTAGACCTGTGGCTCAGCCTCAGGTCATCCAAACAGCCAGTGTTTGATTTTTCTTATTTTCACTCACTGTTTGGACAGTGGTAGGCACTGCTTCATCACCTAATCTCTTTTCAACCTCCCCTTTTTTAGTGATACTGGGGACTGAATCCAGGGCCTTCACACCGAACTACATTCCCAGGCCTTTTTTTTTGTTTTTGTTTTTTTTTATTTTGAGACAAGATCTCACTAAGTTATTTAGGCTGGGCTTTAGCTTGCAAATCTCCTGCCTCAGCCTCCCAGAGTGCTGGGATTACAAGCATGTGCCATTACACTCAGCTCCCAGATATTGTTCACATGGAAAGCTCATTTAAAATCTCCCCATTAAAAAATAATAAAATCCCCCCATTGCAGGGCGTGGTGGCACACCAGCACCTGTAACCCTAGCACTCTGGAAGCCGAGGCTGGAAGATTGCTGTGAATTTGGGTGCAGCCTGGGCTATGTAGCAAGAACCTGTCTCGAAATAAACAAACAAATGAACAGACAAATAAATAAATCGCCTCATTGAAAGCTATGCTGAAGGTGCACTAGCACACGAATCTTCCAAAGTGACCATAATGCTTCCCATAGTAGGGCTGGGGATGTAATTTAGTGGTAGAGCACTTGTCTGGCCTACAGGGGGCCCTGGGTTTGATCCCCAGCAATGCAAAAACAAACACAAGCATAACAACAAAAGCGCTGATTTCTTCTGCTTCCCACCCCCTCACCGCCCGTGAGGTGTGAGCATAGCTCTGGCCTTTCCTTCCACTTCTGGGTGTGTTTTGGATACAGCTGGAGAAAAACCTCCCTGCCCTGTCCTGCCACTCAGGACTACATGGAGCCTACAGCGGGTCTACAGGGACAATGACGAGGCTGCAAAAAGCCACCAGATATGCAGCCAGCCCTGCATCTTTCCTGGAGGCATTCTGAGAAGGTCTTTTCCCTCAGAAGTGCACCGTAGATTTCCTCCCCTTCATAAAAGTGCCCTGTGATTGTGAGACATCACCCCAATGCTTGGTGTTTATTTCTTCTGTGGGCTCATATGTTCTCATGGCCTATTTTCCTTTTGTTTCCCATGATCCAGAGCTTAATATCACTCTGAAGGGAAATCTCATACTCTCATCAGAAAAAAGCAAGGATTCCAAAAAAGTATGTACAATTCTAATGCACATATATTAAAAATAGGAAATAGCATCTTTCATGTATATTAAGAAAGGCGAATAACATCTCATTCTGTTAGAGTGGTAAAATTCTGGTTTCAAGAAAATCGCTTGAGCTGGGTAAGAGGGTGCATGCCTGTAACCCCAACTGATCAGGAGCCTGAGGCAGGAGGAGCACATGTGTGAGGCCTCCCTGCACAATTTAGTGGGATTCTGTCTCAAAGTAAAAAGGGCTGGGGGTGTAGCTCAGTCATAGGGCACACCCGTCTTCAGTCCCTAGTACCTAAAACAAAAGTGAAAAACAAACAACAAAATCATTTGAACACAGGCTTCTGTTCTGTGAAACAACTTCCATGTTCTAGCAGAGAACCCAGAATAAGAGGGTGCTGTTTCTGCAAAAGAGCTGCCACCCTGCTTCTCCTTGCTCTGCCCTCCTTTCTACCCCCTGGCCGCAGATTCACATTCACAAACAGTGCTGAGCCAGGATCTGTAGAATAGATGTTGGGGCTGGGGATTTAGCTCAGCGGCATAAGCACCTGCCTGGCAAGCACAAGGTCCTGAGTTCGATTCCTGGTACCAAAAAAAAAAAAAAAAGAATAGATGTGAGTCTCTACCCACCCTCCTTTTCTGGAGTTGATCTCTGGCTTCCACCCCACCTCTGTACGGAAGCATGAGGCCAAGAGTGTGAGAGCAACATGCTTTGGGGTGAGGCCTTGGTCCCTACTCTCAGTGCCTGCCTGGAGAAATCAGGTAATAGGTGTGAGCCTCCTCGCACAGTCACCAGCAGGACTCACCTCCCAGTGTAGTTCAAGCTCCCTGCACAGAACGAGCTGGGCTTTTGCTTTTATGACCTTTGTCCCTCACTAGTTTGAGACACTGTGAGGTTTTTGGCTACTCCATGGTCACTCACTTCTCTGTTCTGTTCTTCATTAGGTTTCCTTTCTGACTCTTTGTCTTGTCCCCTACATATCCCTGTGCCTGAGACCTCTGTCTTCAGCCCCTCCTCTTGCTGTTCCATGTCGGTTCCTTTGTCATCACCACTCTGCCTTGATCGCTCCTCCCCCACGCTGGGACCTCTCTCCTGAGGCTCGGGCCTGTGTAGCCAGCTGCCTTCCAGAAAGTTCCTCCCTTTTCCTTCTCTCTCCACAACTTCTGTCTTTCTCCTCAAATCCATCCTGTAAACAGTGACTCATGGTCATAAATATTTTGTAGATGATATAGATGAATTTATACTTTGCCCTGTGGTTATTCCCTGGATACCTTGGACTCAGGGAAATATCCAGGATGAAGTGCGCTTTCACTCAGCCCAAGCCTGCCTTTGTGGCCTCTGTTTATCATAATGGTTTCACCACCTCCCCACTGTCCAGCCCAAAGACTCCAAGTAATCCTGTGCTAGCTACTCACCACCAATTCTCCCATATGAACAGGTGCCTGGTCCTAGGGATTTCAATCATGATGAGGGGCTGGAAGTGTAATTCAGTGGTACTGATCGGTTTTCTGCTGCTGGAACAAAACGCCTGACACAAACAACTGACAAGGGAAAAGGTTTGCGTTGGCTCACAGTTTCAGCCCAAGACAGAAACATCACAGCAGAGGAAAGCGGCTCACCCCACAGCAGCCTGGAACCGAGCAGGGGGAAAGCCAGAAGCAAGGGCTCAGGGGCCAGATGTAGTTCCTGAAGGTCACACCCCCACGACCCACCCAGACACACCCAGAAGTGTGCTTTACTATTCTCCTCGGCTCTCTCAAGTCAGTCCTGTTGACAAGATTTGTGCAAGGTCCTGGGTTTGATCCCCAGTACTGCAAAACAACACAAAATCCAAAATCCATCTATCCTTTCTTTTCCCACTGCTGCTAGGCTAGCTTGCGCCCATAATGGCTTTAAAAATTTTATTTGAACCATTGCAAAATCTTCCTACGTGGTCTCTGCTTCTAACTTTTCCCAATTCCAGTTGAACTCTACAAAAAGAGATTTAATGTCACTCATCTGCCCAAAGATTTTCAAAAGAGAGGCAAACCACAAAGACACGCCAGTGTTTCCCAGAACCTCATCTCCCTTGTCACCCAGCCACTGATCTTGTGTGCCTTCGATGCCTTCTTCCCTTGCACCTTCACCCCAGCTGTTCTACTTGCCTGGAATCCTCCTCACTCTTCTTGTGCCTCGCCTATTTTTCCCTGTTAAAATCCAGTGATTTTCTGAAGGAGTGTCTCAAAGGCTGCCCATGTGAATCCCTTTAAATGTGGCGTTTTACCGTACTCACTGTCACAGGCCCCAAGCTTACCCACCCACTTCATCTACCAAACAGCTCTGGTGACAGGTAGCTTGGTTTGCAAATGTGTTCCAGTACTTAAGCTACCTGCAGCATTTAAATAGATGAAAAGAAACCCAGGTAAACATGGTTGCAATATACTGTCACATTAGCTTCCCATTTAAACATAATTCAGATTTGATGAAGCAATTCTGATAGTGTATCACATTTTCTAAAAGGATTTAGAAAGTCTTCTAAATGGGTCGTTGAAAGAGTCCTTCCCGTTCAGTCAGCCTCGGTTCTGCAGAAAACCCTTTTGTCTAGTTCCTGAGAAGAGGTTGAGAATAGAAAAATCAACCTGAGTGCTTCAAATGTATCAAATGGAACCAGCACTCTTCAGTCATTGCTCCACATAAACCTGAAATAAAACCACATCAATATTTTGAATTGGCAACAGAATTAAATAGAAAGTTTGTTATGGCATGAAATCTTTTGATAGGAAGGATTTATTTAAGCCATTTTGATTCTCACAAGGGCCCCAAGACATCTGTTCAACTTTAAATCTGAAAGTAAATGTAAATAAGCATTTAAATTTCCATGTAAAAGGCAGTAGAAAGTGTGTTTATTGAGACACTTGTCTTACACTATAGACTTTAATTACTTAAGAGCAATGGTCTGTACCTAACAGCCTGCTAAGTGCCTTTCTTGATAATATTTGCATTTTTTTTCAAAAACACCCCATTTTCCCCTCATTTTAGTAGGCTACTAGTGGAATAGAAGTGACTTTAAGAATTGGGCCATAACAATTTCCGGACTCTGTTTAATGACACTGTATGAGCGTGTTTTATCAAATCACACGCACAGCCTATTGACTTGGTCATTAAGACCGCTCAGCAAGCCAGGTCCAGACTGGGGGCATGGCTTGTTAAGAGTGCTTGCCTAGACCTTGGGCTCCATCCTGCACAAATAAATAAGCAAAAAGTGAGAAAACAGCCAGGTCAGTTTTTTTAAAAATTAGGAATGTTTTTCATCAGAAAAACACTGTACAGGGCCTAAGTTTCCAATGATGGAGCAGGAGCTAAGTCAACTTGTGGGACTCAGGCTCTAAGTCTCTTTCTACCAAACAGAGAAAAGAACTGGGGTTTGAGTAAGGTGACCCTGCCATGTATCATGAAGGTGCTTTTGAGAAGGAAAGGGACACAAGCTGGAAGGGACGCTGGAGCAAGAGGAGTAAACGCAGAGTGTCCTAGGCAAGCAAGGACACATGGTCACTCTGAGTTTGGGGCCGCTCCAAACTTTGCAGTGTTTGTGCACACACCCACCTTGGAAGGAAGGGCTGCCATGTCCAGTGCCCAGAGGGCGGGTGGTTGCTCCTGAGCCCCCCTGGCGCTGCCTGGGCATTTCCCTGTCTCTCCCAGGGACAGTATGCTCTTTGCTGCCAGAACCTCAGTTCCTTCTCCTCCTCCAACCTGAATGTTCTTTCTCGTCTGCCACCTATCCCACACATTCAGCTAGAGTTCCTCAAAGTGCCTTCTGTGTGTCTGGGCCCAGGAATCTGTTTTTCAACCAGCCTGCCCTACCTTCTGTCCAAAAGCTTTTGTTCTAGGTTGTCGAATGTAAGCTAAAAACTCATACCATTGAGTCCTCTGCCTTTAATCCAACGCCAGGCTTTGTTGGTGGTGCTGGCGGTGCACTTTCTCTGTTGGCTGCTCCTTTGTCCTATCTGGATGGCTTCCTTTTCTGTGTCATATGCTTTGTCTCTTTAGACAGACCTTACTGTGTTCTCTTGATAGCCAGTGCTTAATTCATAGCAAATTGATGGCCACAGAGAATGATCATAGCAGAGCTTCCACCCCTGGCTCTGCCTGTGGGTCAACAGTTATTTTTTGAGAACAGGACATTTTTCTTCTTCTCTTTCTTTTGTTCTGCTCTCCCCTTACCAACTTCTCCTCCTTCATGCTGGGGAAGGAACCCAGAGCCTCACACAGGCTGGGCAAGCACTCTTCCATTGAGTACCACCCCCAGGCTATGCTAGACCTTCTTGAGGAAGAAAGTAGGTGCAGAAGGTGTGCGGTTTCCATCCTGAAGAAAGTTAAAAGTGAGCTCTGGAAACAAAGGACATGTGTAACAAAAATAGAGCCTAGAGTCAGCCTGCCTGGGTTCAAGTCACAGCTCTGCTCCTCACCAGATCAAGACTTTCCACCTTGCCATGTCTTAGCTCATTGGTTTTTTGTTTGTTTGTTTTGTTTTGTCTTTTTGAGACAGGGTCTCACTATGCAGTTCAGACGGGCCTTGAGCTCAATTTGTAGCTACGGCTGACCTCGAACTCGCAGCAATCCTCCTGCCTCAGCCTCCCGAGTGCTGGGATTACTGGGATGCACCTCCATGCCCAGCTCACGTTTTGGTTCTTATCCATAAATGGGGATAATAATGGTTCCCTGGACCCTCATTCCTTCATTTAACCTTCAGGCCGCATGCAGAGCAGTCCTAGCACGGGGTATGGCAGACAGGGAGGTGCTGAGCCAGCCGCAGGGTGTGTATGTCCTGCTGCTGAGGGAAGCTTCCTTTGGCCAATGCGAAGCAGATGACATTTTCAAAATTTTGAATTTCTGGAGTCCACTCAATGTGCAAGAGCAGATTTACTCTTCAAGAGGAGAAAACAGTCCACCTTTGACAACACAGCCACAGTTCCAGAGCCTGATCCAAGTGGGCAAGATGGGCAAAGGAAGGGAAAAAGTCTCCCTGATGGAAAGAAAGGCAGCCATGAAGACTGAGAAGGCAATAGCCCCGGTCCTGGATTCAGAGTGCTAAGACTCATTAGAAGGTGATAGGAACAATTTTGAGTTCTTAAAAAGAAATCTAGATGAGCAGAGTAGCAAAGTAGACAAAGCTAAAAATCACAATGGGGACTGAGACAAAAAATTACCTCAAAATTACAAAGTGAAAAAAAAATATGGGAGGATCCTTGTGTATCACCTGTGACAGATGGAAAAATGACGATGTCCACATGGAGTTCTGGAAAGAGAGGACAGAAAGAATGGAGAGAGCTGGGCATGATGGAGCACGCCTGCAATCCCAGCACTAGGGAGGCTGAGGCAGGAGGATCGTTGTGAGTTCGAGACCAGCCTGGGTTACAAAGTGAGCTGAAGGCCAGCCTGAACTGTATAGTGAGATCCTGTCTCAAAAAGACAAAAAAAAAAAAAAAAAGTGGAGGGTGCAAGCCAGCAAAAGAAATGGGAGAGAGAAAAACCTTGAGAACTGACTGATGAAGAGGCACCCTACCCTTGCTGCAGATTGTTCATCAGCAACGCTGGAAGACAGCAGGCAAGGGGGTCAGATCATCAACATTTTGGGAGAAAATGATTTGGACCCTAAATTGCTATGCAAGATGGAACTAGCATTTAAATGTGATGGTGAAAAATGACATTTTCAGACCTGCAGAGAATCGGAAAATTTACTAGCCAAGAGGCTTCCATGGGAGATTTGCTGAAAGATGTTCTCCCACAGAATGAAAACTCTTATCAAGGAGAAAGACAATGTGGGATGCAAAGGAAAGTGTGTTACCCTGTAAAAGCTTCAGAGAGTGAAGCTGGATACCCGACAGAAGTAGGTTGGTAGGTGAAGGCTGGTAGGCCGAAGGAGAAGAGCTCAGTGTCTTCAGGGTGGAAAGGAAAAGAAAATCCCAAGGTGGAAGAGCAGGAGGCCTTTTGGCTAGAGGAGGAAGGAGAGGAACACTTGAGGGTGGAGGAGGAGCAGGAGGGAGAAGGAGGCCCAAGCCCGGAGGGAGAGGAGGTCTCAGTGTCGCAGGAAGAACTTGCCTGTAGTTACTCGGTTGGGGAAAGAGGAAAAGTTGAAGCCCCAGGAGGTACACAACACTGAGGAGGAACACAGCTGAGGAGGAACACAGCTGTGGAGCTCAAGCAATTGAGATTCCCTGTCTGACCTTGCATTTGACCTCTCAAAATCACTCAAGAGAAGTTCTGATGATCGTGGAAAGCATTCATGCAAAATCGGAGTACTACATCTGGAATCACAAAGTTTTTAGGGAAGACAGAGAAAGAGAGATACAAAACTTTGCAAATAGAAGAGCTGGTATCCAAAGAAGCAGAATTAATCCAGGAAACAGAAGAAAACTTTGGAAGAGTGACCAGCATTTCAGAGAGATGCAAGAGGAGATTGTGAGTATAAGGAAATACCATCCAAATTTCTTGGAAGTTAATTATTTAGTAGTTGCTCTGCACAGCAGGGTAGGTATACTTGGGGAAAGCATGAGTAATCTAGATGGCCAAACGGAGGAAGCATCTAAGGATACAGTGAAAACGTCTCAGCAGCTGATGAATAAAGAAAAACTATGAGTCAAAGAATAGATACAGAACCTCCATTACCCATTTGATAGGAGTTCTAGAAAAAGATACAAAAGAAAACAAAGCAGAGGATTTACTTCAGGATAATAATTGAAGAAAACTTTTCAGAGCTAAAGAAGCACTCCACTCTTGAGGTTGTCAGTGCTCATCAAATCCCCAGCATGGTCCGTGAGAGAAGACTCACATTGGAGATGTTCTGGAGTTCCAGTGAGAAAGAGGAAATCCTGAAGGCTTCCTGAGAGAAGTCATCTACAGTGGGACAAGAATCCCGCTGACTGCAGACTTATTGCTGAGCACACTGGAAGCCGTGAGTCAGTGGAGGCAATATATATATATATGTATATCTATATTTGTATCTATCTATCTATATATTTTGTTTGTTTGTTTGTTTGTTTCCAGTACCGGGAATCAAACTCACGACCTCATGCTTGCCAGACAGGTGCTGTGCCGCTGAGCTAAATCCCCAGCCCCCCTGTGGGGGCAATGTTATAAGAGCCCTGCAGGAGGAGGACTTCTGGTCTCAAATCCAGTATCCCGGCAAACTGATGTTTGATTTTTGAGGGAAAAACAAAGACATTTTTAAATACTGATGAATTCGAGAGGTTTATTTCTCTTGTATCCTCTCTGAAAGAATTACTAGAGAATATACTTTAGCAACCTAGGTTGGAGGCAACAAGTTACACAATGTGTTTTCCCCCCTAGGGACACAGTCCAAAAAGTCAGTGAATAAAACATTACATGTCTACCCAGAAGGGTGGCCAACCAACAGCTCTTCTTGGTGATGCAAGAAGGGAATGTTATTACACAGATAGTGTAAAAGGATATATTTTAAAAATTAATGAGGATCAAGTCAGGCACGGTGACACACATCTGTAATCCTAGCACTTGGGAAGTTGAAGCAGGAGGATCACTGTGAGTTCGAGACCAACCTGGACTACATAGTGAGACCTGCCTCAAAACAATGACAACCCCCGCAAAACCCCAAAATATTAATGAGGACTATCATAGCTTGGATAGGAGTTTTTTTGTTTTTTTTTTTTTTTAACTGGAGGGTGAACCCAGAACTTTTGCACTGAGCTATGTTTCCAGCCCTTTTAATTTATTTTTTATGAGATGGCCCTGAGTTGCCAAGGTTAGTCTCAAACTCGTGATCCTCCTGTTTAGCCTCCTGAGTAGCTGAGATCCCAGCTCCAGAGGATGGATGCGTCAGAGTGGGAATCTTTACAAGAAAGCTTTTTCACTGGGGGGAAAAAAAAGAAGAATGGTCTCAGCCTCAGAGTGTGTTGTAGAGATTGAGTTAAAATGTGTGAAGCAGAGCTAGGGGTGTGGCTCAGTGGAAGGGCACCTAGAATGCTCAAGGCCCTGGGTTCCATCCCCAGCATTGCACAAGCAAAATTAAACCTCAGCCATTCTCTCTAGCATCCACAGACAACTTTGGTGGATCAGCTTCCCATACAATGGCCCCCTGAGGTTTTCTCTCAGTCGTACACTTACTAGTTGACCTTCTACTGTAGGGAAGGTCATTCTCCCCATTCATTTATGCCCTCATTCCATCAATCACTCAGTCATATTAATTTGAACTAATCTGTTCCTTTTTTCAATGGGTTGTGCCCACTGATATTATTTTAATGCTCAAATTATCCCAGATCTGGCCAGATGGATACTGTATCCTTTGACAAATCCTTCTCATTCTTTGGCCCTGTTTTGAATTTTTAGCACAAAGTGTTTCAGGGTTGTTTTGTGTCTTCCTTGCCTTAGGAACACTTGTACTGAAGGATGATGCTCAGAAACCAAGGTCTAGGCCTTCTGGGAGCTCCATTTCTACTGAGTGTCATTGTTTCTAGGCCCTTTCAGGGGGCAGAGCTGGAAAATAAATGTATTTTCTGGCGTGTACAAATACAGGCATGTGTCCATGACTATTTTTTTGTATGAATGTGTGCACCTATAACATTAAAACTCATTGGAAGGCTGAGGCAGGAGGGCCACCATGAGATTGAGGCCAGCCTAGGCTACATAGTGAGTTCAAGGCCAACCTGAACTATACAGCAAGACCCTGTCTCAAAAAACTAAACAAACAAACAAACAAACAAAAAACCAATAAAAACCCACGAAAAATCCCACCCAAAACAAACAAAAACTCAAAGTTTATATTGATCCAATTACAATCCAACATTTCAGGGTTCTTTCTTACTATTCCCCTTTGCAAATCACTTCTGACCATGATTCCATTATCCTCAGACTGCAGATTCCATTATCCTCATTTTTTACCTTTGTCCATGTTTTTGCCCAATTTTCCAGTTCTCTCTGTGTAACCAGTCTCCTAGTCACAACAGCACCTCCTTTTTTGCAGAACCCCCGTGGCTGCCTCCTTGACCCCCAAACACAGCACTTCACGTGGCCCTCCCCTCCCCCACAACCACAGTGCACATGGAAGCTTCCATCTGCTCCAAGCCTTCAACACTGGGCGCTGAAACCCCGCACCACCCTGCCGTCCCATCCCCCAGGCTTGCCGACACCTCTGTGCCCACGTCCCCTCTGCCCCGTTTCCGTGGTGTGCAGGGTGCACGGACACCCAGCGGTGGAGAAGCCAGGGAAGGGAAGGAGAGTTCTGTGCTCCTTTTGGCTGCCAACTCTAGGTTGTTTTAATGCTTTGGTGCCAAAGCTTTAATAAGATTGTTACTTTCTGTGTCTCAGTTTCTATTGTTGCTTGTGAGATACCTCACAGGCCTGCAATTAGCACGTGCGGGGCCTGCTCAGTGCCGCCATCTGAAAGCCCAGTGTGACAGGGGAATGTATATTAAAGGACTTCAATTAAGTGTGTAGATGGAGTAGCACACAAAGGTGCTCGAGGACCTGATGTTAAACATCTTTATAATAGTTTCTTAATTAATTAAAAACATCCCTATTCCCAACAGGAGTTGTATATTCTAGTTGGGTCAAAGCGAGGAGTAAATTACATATTCTGTAACTACTTAATAAGCCCTTTCTTCTTACCTTTGACACGTGCTAATGGGAGCTAAATGCCATCTTTACAAGGAATGTAATTTAACATTCTTCCCGAAAAATACTGACCTCCCAGGAGAGAAGGTTTGGATGTGCTAATGATTAGGGTGTCTTAATCTCACTGGCTCTATTTTGATTTCTTTCTGCATAACAGAACCCAGTCCTTGAAATTCAAGAGCAACAGGAAGACATGGTGAAACAAGAGTCTGGTTATAATAATTTCAAGATGTTGAGAAAGGTAAACTATTGCTTATTTGATGGAGTGGTGAGTGTTAGTGTTCTTCTTCTGTGGAAAAAAAATATGAATTTGTTGAGAAAACTCACCTTTCTTGTCCCTTTCATCTAAGAATATACCCATACTGACTTTAGCTAAGTTATCATTTGCTTATAAGAATAGATATGTCTTTACTTCCTGTTGTACCCCCATAGGAGCAAACAAGAGGTTCCTTTGTTTGTTTGTTTGTTTGGTTTTTGTTTTTTCTTTTTGGTACTGGGGATCAAACCCACAGGTTCTCTGCCACGGAGCTGCATTCCCAGCCCTTTTTGTTTTTAAAATTTTGAACCAGCATCTCATTAAGTTGCCCAGGTAAGACCTGAACTTCGATCCTCCTGCCTCAGCCTTCCAAAGTCCTAGCGTTATCTTAATCCCTTGGGATATCTCACTACACCCTGAGCACTGAGCTTCATTTACCATAATTCCTGAGTCAGGCATGATTTATTCTGGATGACTATTGATCCTGGAATTTCCTTTGGAAAAGGTTGTTTGGAAGAGGTTGTGTGGCTCACCTTACAGATGGAAGAACAGGCAGGAAAGGGATGTGACATGCCCAGCATTGCCTGTGGGCCTGTGATTGGACACACATGTGTTA